TGTGTCTGCGTGTGGGTGTCTGTGTGTGTGGGTGTGGGTGTGGGTGTGCGTGCGCGCGCGGACGCGCGTGCGCGCGTGCGCACGTGCGCGCGTGCGCGCGTGCGTGCGTGCGTGCGTGCGTGGGTGGGTGGGTGGGTGGGTGGGTGGGTGGGTGGGTGGGTGGGTGGGTGGATGGGTGTGTGTGTGTGTGCCCTCCTTTCTGGCCTGGAGGTTCTTCGCGTTGAGGGCCGTGAGCTCGTCCTGCATCGCTGCAAGCAGAGCGGAGTGGTTTGGGTCTGTTGCAAGGTTTGTGAGCTCCCGGGGGTCGCGATCCACGTCGAAGAGGCACCCCGCGCCGCAGTCTTCGACGAAGGTTCTCCTGCGCATCTCTGACTCGTTGAACACAGGCTCATCCCGGCCAAAAGCATCTAGGTTCGCTTCCACTGGGTCGGTGGTACTGCAATTGGGCCACACTGGCCCTGGCCAGAAGCTCCCTTTGTGAGAGCCCGTCACCAGCTTGTAGGGCCACCTGAGCACCGTCTTCTCACTCAACTGGAGCGGATCCGGCCGCGCATTGCTGCCATCCAACAAGTGCCGCCACTGCGGCCGGCTGTCCACGGGTGGCATAACTGGGAGGCCCTGCTGCTCCAGGTACTTGTTCGCCTCAGCGGACTTGTGGTCCACGTGGTCGACGCCTGCCAGATCGCAAAGGGTGGCGTACCAGTCGGCGATGTGGAAGATCCCAGAAAACTGCTTGCCGCGGTGCTCAGGAGGGACGAAACCGCCAGAGATGAAGGCGTTGGTTCGCAGGCCGCCCTCCCAGTCGGCGTACTTCCCCCCTTTCAGCGGGTAGTTGTGGGCGCTCTGACGCAGATTCGCTGCAGCGCCGTTGTCAGACAGGAAGACCAGCAGCGTGTTCTCGTACATGCCTTGCTCCTGGAAGCAGTCCCTTGTCAGGATGGCAACTACTTGAGCTGGATTTTCGCAGTTTCAGGGTTGTGACTGCTTCTGGTCTCGGAGAACAGCGTGCTGGGTTCAGGTTTGAGGGGGCCAGGCAGGTTCAAGGCAGGTTGAAGGCAATTTCAAATCGCGTGGTTGAAAGGCAAGTGTTAGATTCATGCTCTACGACGACTCCTGGAAGGTCTGGACGAGATCTCCGACCATTGCATCCAAATAAAGAAGGCTTGCAGCGTGGATCTTCCGCTTTGTCGTCCAGGGCACTGTGTGCGGCACGCCAGTCGCCACCACCAGCTCCTCCAGCTTCTTCATGTAGGACCAGGGCACGCTCACAGGGGAGTGTGGCAAGTGATGCGCAAACGTCAAGAACAAGGGCTTGGTTTTGTCGTGGTTCTGTACAATCCGCTTTGCATGCTGGAGGAACATGGCCTCTTCATAGCAAGTCTCCGGAAGGCACTCGCTGCGATTATCCATGTCACAGCCCATCGGGGTAAAGGGTTTGCCCCTCATGAGCGTGGCGTTGCAACCTAGCTCCGTGGACATTTGTGCGGTCACCCCTCCTCGGTAAGTGGCATTGTAGAAGGAGAAGTCCTTGAACTTATTGAGACATATGTCCAGAAGGTACTTCAACGGCCCTCTGTCTTTGGACCAGTAGTCATTCTCAGCCTGCAAGAATCCCAGGAAGGAGTCAAATCCCCGGCCAAGAGGGGTGTGTTCTGGAGTTGCCCAGCCAGCATCCCATTTGCCAACATAGTGGGTTTCGTACCCTGCCTCTTTGAGTTTTGTGCCTAAGCCCGTCATGCCACGGGGGATGCCATCAAAGCCGGAGTTGTTGTCCTTCTTGTTCCACAGCATCTGGTGGTTCACCGACAAGTCTCCGTGCGTGACGTGCGTGGGCAAGCGGCCGCTCCATAAGGAACACCTCGAAGGGGGGGAGCTGCTCGTGGTGTAGTGCCGCTCCAACGACACGCCCTCTGCACGCAGCTTGTCCAGGTTCGGCGTGTGGGTCTCCGCCCAGCCCTGGGCCTCCTGGGCCGTCTCGGCACGCCGCCTGGACCTCAGGTCGGCCCAGCCCAGGTCGTCCGCCACGATCATCAGCACGTGAGGCACCGAAGGAGCTGAGAGCTCAAGGTCCAGCTTCCGCTGCAGCAGGTCTACGGCGCACTCAGCTCCACAGCGGTCCTAGGCTTGAGAGGGTGCGGAACGGGGGTAGGGGCGTGTTTTCACGTTAAGTTGGGCAATTTGAGATGTGCCGCTGGTTTTGCCAGGAGGAGGCAGCACGCCAAAGCGCGGCGGGCCATGCTCATGGCTCTCAAATGCTCTCAAGGGCATCAACGATTTGAGGCCTTTCTCCCCCAAGCCCTCGCTTGCGCTTTGCATGCCCCGTTCAGGCTCTAAGTGTCTTCCAGGCAGCCTGGCATCCTGGCCAACAGTCATAAGAGCGCCAATGATCTGAGCAAACAACATAGTGCCCAAGACCTAGGACTAGGACTGGAGCCTGCAGCTTCAGGATTCGAGTGCAAAGCACAAACTCACGTCCGCACTCCACAAAGCACCGCGCCAGCCAGCCAGCGTCCTCACTTAGATGTTCCCCGGGTTGCTAAGTATGTTTAAGTCTTTAAAACTATGAGCAAGTTTAGCAACAGGGTTTTAACTCACGTGCAACCGCATGCTACATGTATATTGCTGGTAAAAGTTGTATAAACTTAAATACCAACATAGTTAAACTTAGATTTATGAACTTTAGCATAGAGATTAGCTGAACTAGACAAGGTTCAAACGTGTTGTTATGGAGAGGAATTAGTTGCTGACTTTCATGTCCAGCATGAGAGTTTGTCACAGCTTTGGCATGGATGGCTACATGCATGAAAGCTTTGTGTGGGGCATGATACCGCATGGGGGCTCCAAAGTTGCTGTTTTAGAAACGTGTTTCAGAAAGCTTTTGGCTGGACCTTCTGCAATGCCGGTTTTATTTCAGAGGCAGAATTCCAGCCCATCAGAACTCATGCAATGCACACGGATCAATGGCACACTGGGCATTTCAGCATGCCTGCTTTTCATGGCGAGGCTGCTCGTGCCAACACGGTTGGGTACTCTGTGCTGCCTGTAGGGCTCAAATTGGTAGACTCCTGCCAAGAAGCCAAGCTGAAAGGCGCTGCCTCTGAGAAATTTGGTTGAAGTCTCTAGCGTTCTATGTCAGAACCTGCGCCCGTGAAGCTTTGCAGGATGCAACCACAGCTTTCCTGCGGATGAGCTGTATAGCTGAGCTGCTCCTTGCTGCCAACCGGGAGCATGCAGGTGTGACCTCTGCCACAGCGTAAACAAGCAGCAGGCCAATGCGTTTCTTCGATGTTCAAAGCTGGCTGGGAACAGCATATCACCAGGAAGTCACCAGGAAGGTGCAGTGGTTGCTTTGTGCAAAGCACAACAAGCTACCAGGAACATTTTGCACGGGAGAGTTCTGAGAGGTTGTATGAAGGTGTTGCCTGCTTTTCGTTCAGGCCTTGGAGCTTTCCTTGAGTTTTCGTCCTGCACCCAAGTTGCTGGAGGTGAGGGAAGCATTGCAGGGCTACAAATGGTGAGCAGAAATGGGGAAATCTGGGCTCACATTTCAGTGCAGGGCAGGCTCTGCCAACTGTGCTTTTTGCCAAGAGCAGGACAGCCCATGTTCATATGAACCGGTGACATCATTGCTTCAGTTGAACCAGGCGTGTAATTGGAATTCTAGTTCCCTGCCACCTGAGGAAGTGAGCTAGAGTCCCAAAAAAAGTGACTGTGTTTGCAACCTGGTCTCTTGGCCATATTGAGCATGGCATCTATCATCTGCTGAAAGGTTTGTTTGATAGACTGTGTGCGGAGAAAACCCACGTTCAGTTTGCAAGGTTATCTTCGACGCCTTCTAGCAATTCTTCAATTGCTACATGAAAAGTGAATTCTGCCGGTACCTGTTCGTAGATGCTGCAAGAGAAACATGGTAATTCAGCATGGACTTGATGACCAAATCCAGGATGCCAAACATGGGTTATATGAGCCAGAAGATGTTGAATTCAATTTTTTTCGGGATTGCTTGGCGTTCGAGACAGTCTTTACAAGGCATCACTTGGGAAATTGTCTTGATTTTCGGGTTTGGACAAGTGTGCAATGCCTGCCTGTGGTGTTGGCATGTAAGATATTGTGTAAAGTTACCTAGCTTAACTCGGTTGGGAATTATGTTAAGTGTGTAAGTTCAAGTATTTAGCCAGCCCAGGGAACGTCTCAGCACACCGTCCTCCTCACACCACACCATGTTTTTTTCATTTGGCAGGGCCCATCCCACGTTTGTTGGCTATTTGTGAGTCCACGGCAGCAGGGGAGCTTCCTCCCGGAGTGCCATGAATGATACATCTGATTCCTCTTCAAAATGTCACAAGTTCCTGGAGCTAAGGTCAACGAACAAGTCGCCCAAGTCGCCAGGCGCTCTAGGCAGCCTGCACAAAAGAAGGATTTTGCACCAGACACAAGGTCATTTCGCCTCTGCACCTACGGCAGGAGGCAAGATGCCTGTCTTAAGCAGGTGCTCGCGGCAAACATAATCAGCCGAAGCCGAGAACTCCAACTGTGTCCTGACTTAGGCTGACTGAGCTAGAGCAGGGACGCCGAAAGTGTCACCTGTCAGATCCGTAAACTTGCGCTTCTGCTCACCATAATAAGCAGTCAAGAGTCTCTTGGCTTCCTCCGGACAAGCTTGGCATCCATTCTTCGCCTTACGAGCGTTTGATTCGCTCCCCAGAAGCTATGCATTCTTCCTTGCGTCGAAGAGGCTGGTGACATCACCAACATATCCATGACGTCTTCCGGCTGGACCTTGAGCGGCGGAAGCTCGACTCTCTCTGCGTCCAGCCCAACAAAGTCGAAGATGCGGCGCATGGTGTTCTCCATGTCGGACACGATGGCCTGAGACTCAAACTTCAAAAGCTCAAAGGCAAAGCAAACACTCGCAAAGCTCTCTCTCTTTCTCTCTCGCTGGGGCACAGTGAAGGGGACCAGGAGCAGGTTGCTGCGGCCGAAGCGAGACTCAAACTCGGTCACAACGTCCGCAAGCCTGTGGGGCCGCAGCATTGAGGAGTTCACGCCATGGAAGGCCATGTCCGATGTGATCCTTACGCTCACGTCGGAGCTCGCGTCGCTTTCATCCAACGTGTCGGCCAGGGCATCCATCTCTGCCCAGCACGAGGATCGCGCCAACTTCATCTCCAAGCTGTGGATTTGCTGAAAGGTCCACCCAAAGTCAAAGCGCCCTTTGATGCGGCTACGAAACTGATACATGGACCATGCAGCCTCCACTGGTTCCCGGTAGGCCACTATGATTTTGGCTTTCGGTGTCAGCCGGCGAAACAAGGCCGAAGCGAACTTTGGCGCGACCGCGGCAGTGGGGTCTGCGTCGAAGGTGAGATACCCAGGAGGGCACTGCAACCAAGTTGGGAAGAGCGACCGATACCGCAAGGCTGAGAGGCGCAAGCCGATCCTCCCCCAAATGAATCGTGATTCTTTGTAGGCGGGCTTCACGATGCGCGGATGAAGCGTGAGGTAGTGGTAAATGGCAGAAGTTCCGCACTTTGGACAACCAACCACGTAGAAATCAGGCAACCTCCTACAGGGGCTCGTCAGAAGCCCCCACAACCGCCTCAAGGTCTCGCAGTGCGCCGCAAGAGAGAGCCAGAGCTTCGCTGAAGTCGGATACTTCCCCCAATAGCCCGGGAAAGCTCGCAGCTGACAGCTCCACAGCCAAGCGAAGAATCCGGTGTGCAGGGCCAAAGCGAAACCCGCGAAACCCACAAAAGCCGGCCTCTTGCACATTCCCCACATCTGCGCTAGGGGCTGGTAAACTCAAAAAAGTATGGGGCACAAGATCCAAAAGTTGCGGCAAACCTACTATATGGGAGGCACTCTCAAGATCCTGCATGCGCTTGTCTGCAAAACAACCTTTCGCTGATTCGCTCTGCCTGCACAGTGTAAGGCTCCCTAGCCTCCCTAAAAGCTGTCTTTCTACCTTTTTATCCTTTTTCTCAGCAACGAGGCTCAAAATGGAAGTTGATTGAATCTGCCCCGCCTGCAATTTGAGGTATTCCTCTAAAAATTGCACGAGAACCTGTTCCTGTTCCTCCGAGGAGGAGTCCCAGACTAAGTTGGAGACGCTGTCGTATGTCCCGTAGCCGAAATGCTTTTCAGTGGTCCAGTGATGCCTTCCATGCCAATGCTTCTCGATGGGGCCCTCGGCGAAGTACGCAGAAGCATAGTCTGCCGAGGGAAATTGCAAGTTCAAGGCGAATAGCGGCCAAAAGGGTGGGAAGGGGCTGAGAGGACTGAAATCAGAGCGGAGCCAAGTTCCCCACTCCATCCTGGAGACGACCCTGCGGACCTTGCTTTGCAACCGCACCATGGCTCCCGCAAGCTTCCAGTGCCAGCTGCGGTACTCCTCGTAGTAGTGGTGGATCAGCGTGTTGTACGCCGAATTCCAAGCGTAGGCGCAGTTGTCGAAGAAGGGGATGAAGACGAAGCACAGCTGCACGTAGGCTGCCTGAACAGAAGGCGCAGACAGCTTCGCGAACAGCAACGCGAACAGCAACGCGAACAGTTCGAACAGATACGCCTTCTACAACTGCGAACTGCTGATCTTTTGCTGTTCCCTTGAAAGCTCCTTGTCGTGCCGAGCGCAAGTATTCTGCTCATCTCATTTAGCTCTTCAGTGTCTGCTCCGGTACTTCCGACGTGGGTCGGGGGTGGGTGGGAGGGCGCATGAATGACATGGATAGCGTTGCTGAGGCCGCAAGAGCCCCCCCTAACATCCAAAGCAAAAACCTTGAGTAACTGTCAGTACCTAACATCCAAATGACTCTCTGGTGCTCGAATAGGGGCGCACAGGTTTCAAGTGGACGGCATGAAACACCAGTGTTTTTTGTCTTTGTTTTTCTCCGAAACTGGCAAACAGCCTGCGCACTCCGATGAGCAAATGTCTTTTGCACGGTCAACGCTTGCTCTTTTCGCACGCTGCCTGCCCCAACCGCCGCCTGAACGCACAAGTAGCCCTTTCGCGGAGCTTTCGCGGACCGAGCTTCCGAAAAACGCTTGCGCGAGGTTTCGCGATGCAGGGTGTTCCTTTCGCGGCTATTTAGGAAACCGTTTAGATAAAGATCATCGCGGGGGTTTTGGGCGCTGCTCACCTGATGGAATTGGCTAGCGCCTGCGTCGCATGGTGCATGCCTACAAGCCCTTGCACTCTGCTTGGCACTCGTGGATCACTCCGTTTTGCGAGTTTCGCGCTCCTCAGGGCCCGTCTCCAGCAATCCGCAATCCTGACATGCGGTCAAGCACGTCTGCGACGCTGCGAAGTGGTGCTCCTGGCGCGCTGCAACAGCAATCGCAAAAACACAAGCAGCCTTATGAAGCAGAACTTAATGCAGAGCTTGAAGCTTCAGGCTTCCCCCTCCTCGCCTACCACCAGAGCCACAGGGAGTGACCCTTTCAGGGAGCCAAACAAACCAAAACAACCCACGGGTGAAGTGCTGAGTCCTTGTGCCAGCACGCGTAGAAGGGCTGGACGTGCAGCATGCGGTGCATCGACCAGTGCCTTCGGAAAGCTGAAGCTACACTCTTCGGTGCAGAAGTTCTGAACAGCTTCAGCTCGCAGCTCATGTCTGATGGAAGGCGTCGTGTCTCGTGTCTGAGGCCGTGGCATCACTGATTTGGCCCCCTGCCTCAGTGAAGGCGGGGAGCAACCGCGGAAAATGGAAACTGAGAGAAACAATGAGAGGAACAATGAGATGAACAAGGAGAGGAACAAGGAGAGGAAGTGTGAGGTTAAAGAGAGCCCATCGCAAGTCTCCAAGAAGTGAATCAGAAAAAATTGCGTGCGCCTTGAGCATCCTCGACTCGAGGCATCCTGTTCGATCTTGGCGGCTAGAAGAAGTCGCAGGGGCATATTGTTATGTATATATATATATATATGTGGTACAGCGTTGCCAGCCCCCCCCCCCTCCCCCCCCAATGGTCATGGGTCAGACAAGTACCCCCCCCCCCCCTGTGGTTGTGGTCCTGTGGTTGGGTTGTGGTGGTTTAGGGTTGGTTTAGAATTGGTTTAGGGTATATTTAGGGTGTATTTAGGGTTAGTTTAGGGTTGGTTCAGGGTTGATTTAGGTTGATTTATTTATGTTGATTTAGGGTTGGTTTAGGGTTGGTTTAGGTTTAGAGGTGTACGGTTTAGGGTTTGGTTTAGGGTTTGGTTTAGGGTGTATTTAGGGTTGGTTTAGGGTTGGTTTAGGTTTAGGGTTTATTGTTTAGGGATTGGTTTAGGGTGTATTTGGGGGTTTAGGGTTGGTTGAGGGTTAGTTTAGGGTTGGTTTATGTTGATTTAGGGTTGGTTTAGGTTTAGAGGTCTACGGTTTAGGGTTTGGTTTAGGGTGTATTTAGGGTTGGTTTAGGGTTAGTTTAGGGTTGGTTTATGGTTGGTTGCGGGTTGGCTTGTCCTGGGGGTGGGGGTGCCGGGGTGTCGGGGTGCGAGTTCAGGGGGTCGGGGTGGGGGTGGGACCGTAGGTGCCAGGATCCGGGGGCTCGGGGTCTCGGGCCGGGGGGGCGGGTTCTGGGGGACCATACCATGTGGGGGGGGGGGGGGGTAGCAACACGGAACACGGGACCATATATAGAGTCTATTGTCCACAATAACATCACTCACCTGGGAAAGATCGGGCGGTCTTTCCATACACCACACAATGGCGGCTGCAGCAACACGAGTAGCCACAAGACCCCCCCATACAACAAGGCTGCTGAGACAGTCAGAGCAATCACAGGCGCAAGTCAAAATTGATGAATTGGAAACTGCAGCGCAGCACTTCCACCACCAGCAGCAAAAAACAGCGGATATAACCCAGCAACAACTACACTACTGAGAACATGCGATAGACCAGCACCAACAACTTGCAGACAAAACTTGAGACATGGCGACTACTACACCTCAAATACTCCATGCCACTTGGTACAAGAAGCGTTGGGTACTTGACAAGGTTGCTCAAGCCACAGCTAGACGAACAAGTTTGAGAAGAGATTACAACATGGGAATTTCAACCAAATTGAGCAAGACAACAACACGCTACTACCAGATGCTTCAAAAAGCGCAATACTGCTGAACGGGACAAAGGGAGCACTGCAGCAACATATCACACAGCAGCAGCATCCTTCAACAAGCTGCAAACACTCACATCACATCGACCGGAACGACATAGTGCAACAATGGCAAAGGCAAGAAAGGCAAACAATAGGGCAAAGGAAAGCACCACAAGGGAACAACAACTACAACAACAACCGCGACGGAGGAAAAGGCAATCAGCGCAATCAAACGGTTGCACAAGGCAATCCATTCAAGGAATATGACAAAGAGTAAATATCAAACGGTGAAATCTATAAAGTAGCTTATATTGGGCTACTAGTTACTACGATTCACCAGTTCAACACGCGGGTTGCGTCAAAGAACGGGGAGGCCTAGGTACGGGCGAACAACCCCTTATCAATTCAGTATGTTTGATAGCTACTGTACGGTGTTGAGATTACACTTGCAGAGCTGTTCTCACGCACTAGCAATCAAGAATTAGAACAAGGGAGAAACAATACGTTAAAAGTAACACATGTGTCAATAAGTATGTCCCACAGAGAACCTGGAAGGAAGGGAAAGAAGACAATAACGACAAATACTAAAGAAGGAGACCAAGAAATAATAAAGCAACTTAAGGAATTTACTGAAACATGGAGAAGAGAAAACGTGAGGCATAACGGCATACATTGAAAGTAAAAAATAGACACTACCAAACATACGAAGCTAAAGTAAAGCGTCCGTTTGCTAATTAAGTGAATGTTGTGTGTGTGTGTGTGTGTGCGTGTGCGTGTGCGTCTGCGCGTGGGCGCGTGGGCGCATGGGCGCGTGCGTGCGCGCGAGGGCGCGTGGGCGCGTGCGTGCGTGCGTGCGTGCGTGCGTGCGGCGGGCGGGCCGGGGCGGGCCGGGGGGCCGGGGGGCCGGGGCCGGGGCGGGGGGGGCGGGCGGGGCGGGGGGCGGGCGGGGGCCGGGCGGGGGCGGCGGGGCGGGGCGGGGCGGGGCGGGCGGGCGGGCGGGCGGGGCGGCGGGGCGGGCGGCGGCGGCGGGCGGCGGGCGGCGGGCGGGCGGGGCGGCGCGCGCGGGGCGCGCGCGCGGGCGCGCGGGCGCGCGGCGCGCGGGCGCGCGGCGCGCGGCGCGGCGGCGCGGGCGGCGGCGCGCCCGCCCGCCCGCCCCCGCGCGCCCGCCCCCGCCGCGCGCCCGCACCCCCGCCGCGCCGCCGCCCGCCCGCCCGCCCGCCCCGCCGCCGCCCCGCGCCCCCGCGCCCGCCCCGCCCCCCCCGCCCCCGCCCGCCCCGCCCGCCCGCGCCCGCGCCGCCGCGCGCCCGCGCCGCCCCCGCCCGCCCGCCCGCCCGCCCGCCCGCTCGCCGCCCGCCCGCCCGCCCGCCCGCCCGCCCGCCCGCCCGCCCGCCCCGCCCGCCGCCCGCCGCCCGCCCCGGCCCGGCCCGGCCCGGCCCGGCCCGGCCCGGCCCGGCCCGGCCGGCGCGGCGGCGCGCGGCGCGCGGCGGCGCGGGCGCGCGGGCGGGCGCGCGGCGCGCGGGCGCGGGCGGCGGCGGCGGGCGGGGGCGGGCGGCGGGGGCGGGCGGCGGGCGGGCGCGGGCGGGCGCGAGCGCGGCGGGCGCGAGCGCGCGGGCGCGGCGGCGGGGCGGCGCGGCGCGCGCGGCGCGCGCGCGGCGCGCGCGCGCGCCGCCCGCGCGGCGCGGGCGGACGGGCGGCCGGGCGGGTGGACGGGCGCGGCGCGTGTGTGGCGCGCGGCGGCGGGCGGCGGGCGCGGCGGGCGCGCGCGCGCGCGCGTGTTCGTGCGCGCGTGCGTGCGTGCGTGCGTGCGTGCGTGCGTGCGTGGGTGGGTGGGTGGGTGGGTGGGTGGGTTTGGGTGGGTTTGGGTGGGTTTGGGTGGGTTTGGGTGGGGTGGGTGGGTGGGTGCGTGGGTGGGTGGGTGGGTGGGTGGGTGGCTGGGTGGGTGGGTGTCTGTGTGTGTGTGTGTTCGTCGGTTGCTTAGTTAGAAAGTACGACTGGGGAAGACATGACACAACTACAAACCAGAAGGTTAAAACTAATGAAAACATCTTACAATAAAGCATTGTAAGATTTATGTCTCAAACCTAGTTTGTTCTTTCTTTTTATCTTCAAACCAATTGAGGGGGTTTGGTTTATGTTTGTTTGTTGGTTGTTTTGAGTGGATTTGTGAAAGAACTGCAGCTAGCACTTCCACAGCTGGCAGACCCATTAGCAGCACCCATCTCAGGACTGGCCACACAAAGCGGAGTATAGTATAGACACATGACGGGCCAGACGGCAAGCGGCTTACACTTGGAGACAACGCCAGACTGGTAGAGGACGAATGAGCAACACAGCCACCAAACATATCAGACAAGCTGTGGACAGGCTGGACAAGCTTTGTTCCCAACACAACTCGGGTCACAACGTCACACGCCTTCCAAACAGGAGTTGGTGTCCGATACGCGTCCAAGCCAGCGGCAGAGAGTGAGAAAGAGTGAGAGAGTGAGAAAGAGTGAGAGAGTGAGAGAGAGTGAGAGAGTGAGAGAGAGTGAGAGAGTGACAGTCAGACAGTGAGAGAGAGAAAGAGAGAGAGAGAGAGAGAGAGAGAGAGAGAGAGAGAGAGAGAGAGAGAGGCGAGGAGGAGGAGGAGGAGGAGGAGGAGCGTCCGGCACGGACAGCGACAGTAGGAATCCCGCACAAAGATGCGGGGGAGAAAAAAACACTCTTCCGAAGGCATGTGCAGCACCCAGAACAAGAACTCGTGACATCAACAAACATCATTGTGTCATTTCCAACACAAGTTTGACATGATGCACCTCCTAAACTTTGATACGCTTCTCTGTACCTCGAGACATGTGCATGGCCACCGCGTACACTCCTGATTGTATCTTGCGTTCGTATCCTGGCAGGAGGAAAAAGAGAAAACAATGAGGAGGTTCTGGAGGATGATCTGGAGGGATGCGTCAGGAAGGAAGAAGGAAAGAAGGATAGGGGAGGGAACTACAGTAGGCACAAAGGAAGCACGGGAACAAATGGCACCGTGCGGAGTTGACTATGTGACTATGTGCTGCATTACCTTTCTCTGCCGAGCATCCCAAACGGAGCAATTGAAGCTCTTAGCCCCAGCATCAGGAGAATCCCCATACCAGACCAGGAGAAGGGGCTCACCAAGTAGACAAAGCGAGCGCAGAAGTGAACAGCTTCCCAGCCCAGCTGGAACCCCAGCACCGAATAGGAGTACCTCACTGAAGAAAAGACAACGTTGTGCACAAAGCGAGCTGTGACAAAACTGAGCTGTGAAGGTTCTTCATATTTCTTCGTGCAGATAGCAGCACACATAACACATTTCAGATGTAACCTGCCATAAAAAGAAATATACCGCATGATGTCCAAGCAGCGCATAAACCGAATCGCAGAGATGGTAGCTGAAACTTGGCGTTGCTGAGTCTCGCCGCGCAGCCAGCGCCGACCGGTAGAAGCTGTGGTTTATGAGGATCTCCAGGAGCATTGCCGTCTTCCACAGAAGCCACCAAGAGACCATGACAACGCTCAAGGCATTCATTGTTCGAGGTGTAAGGGGTTCCAGCAGAAGGGCCGGCCAGCACGGGGCAGTTGCAGAAAGGAATATGTGGATGGCGAGCCAGAATGGAATGTTCAGGAGCAGCGTTGGCAGGATGAAGACAAGGCCGGCGCCCAGGATCAGCTGCAGCTGGCTGGTCATGTAACCCCGCAAAGTCATCAAGGACAGCCGCAGGGATGTGTGCCTGTACAATCGTCCCCGGGTCTTCACAAGGACACAAATGCCGTTCAAGGAGGCGAAGAGCAGCGTGGAGGAGAAGTAAGGCAAGGCCAACAAGCTGAGGATGAAAGTGCACAGAGCGAGGTTGGCCAGGAGCCACCAGGCTGCTGTTGGGACCTACAGGGAAGTCGGGAAGTCAAAACTCACACGCCAGGCCGCCAGGCCGCCAGGCCAGGCCCTGCGCACCTGCTCCATGTCGGCGCGGAAAGCCTTGAGAGTTCTCTTGTCGCTCTCCGCCAGCTCCCGCACGTCCCGGGCCGCGGCAGTGATCGAACTCCTTTCGCTCCTTTCGCTGCTTGTGTTTGGGCTGGGAATGTTGGGATCCCAGAAAACCACTTCTGGCTAGTACATGTCCTGGAGATGCCCTTGCTAAGAGTGGCAGCCCGAACTAAACCATGCGCCATGTGGTTTTCTTTAAGGGGACCCCCAGGTTCATTCCCTCATTCCCTACAGAGCACCAGAAAGAAAATGGCTTGCTTAGCGAAACGGCCGTAAGCGTCCAGTCTAGAAATCGACGGAACTGACCCAAAGTTGTTTCATTGTGCATGATTTGAAGTTGGAGCGGCAAAAACAGACATAACATGCAGCCTAGCAACAACAGAGCGTGTCTCAACTAAACATAGGCACAGCTGTATGCGTGACCAACATGGCTGGGCCCTTGTGAACTACGGGAGCCCAGCATTTGGGAGAATCAGAAGTGGTGGGATTTGAAGACTTCGCTGCCCCGCCGTACCCCGAGCAACACTTTGCCACACTGCCGCGTTCTGCCCGCCTGTCCTGGCCAATCACGCTCACGCATGCCCATGTTGGCTTTGTTAAAATTCTGAGTGAAACTAACTCCGAAGTGAACATGACACAACAATGCCTCATTCAATCGATTTTGGCAGGTTGTCCAGAAAACCTTGACAATCCTGCACATTCCGAAAAGAGCTGAAGTGCAAAAAAAAGACCTATGGTACGCAGGGCACCCAAACTGCCAGGGCCAGCATAAAGTGTCGAGTCGAGCAGTTTCGAGCGATTCCAGCATATCCAGGTCAGCAAAATTTCGAGCACCTTTCACCTGCCGTCATACATAAACAAAAGGAATTCGAGCACCCTCGTATGGAAACAAAGAAAAGGTGAAGCCAACTCCTGCGCCCAACCTCAAACAGCCGTTTGGTTTCGAGCGATTCGAGCATTCCGACCAGGCATGCCCCACGGCCATCTGCGAGCACATGCAGCTGTTTTCAACATAAGTACTTGTTGTGGAGCTCTGCGACTCTCTGCGGCTCTCTGCCTCTCCGCTCTCTGTGCCTCTCTGTGCCTCTCTGTGCCTCTCTGTGCCTCTCTGTGCCTCTCTGTGCCTCTCTGTGCCTCTCTGTGCCTCTCTGTGCCTCTCTTGCTAGCTCTCTCCTGCCCTACCCACAACAATAACTACAAGCAAGACAACGCCGCGCGCAACGTCCCACCACGCAATATTTCAGATAGAAACACCTTTCACCGCGCCTCAATCCTCCTGAATTCTCCCAGGCGTCGCAGGCGTCGCAGGCGTCGTGCCCGCTCCGCCACCACAAATATCAAGACTTTGCAGTGCGGTCACAGCCGCTTGCATTCTTGGCATTCTTGCCCAACCCCTAGGACCCAAGGCTTCCTTTCGCTCCTCTCGGGGCCGTCGGTGTCGGCGCCTGCAAAGCGTCGCAGCCGTAGCGACAGGGAGACGCAGAAGTGCACAGAGGCGGCAAGCATACGGGCCTCGGTCTGTGCAGTCGGCCTGTGTTTGCTCGGCTTTACACTCCCTTAAATTCACTGTGGTCTACTTGGCGCTTGCTTTGATTGCTTTGTTTGCTTTGCCTACAGCAGAGGGGGTCTTGCCAAGGTCTGTTGCAAGGTCTGAAAGCCTTATGACTTTACGGTCTTCGTAGTCCTGAATTCATGTTGAGGCCAGCTTGTTTGGGATGCTAACGCACTGCCGTGGAAGCTGCTCTGGCCAACAGGGACATCAGAAACGCTGGATTTTCGTCGAAATGGCATCTGCAAGCTCAACAAGCCATCAGCTCTCGTGTATCTTCGCTGAGGGGATTGCCGGTACCTCACGTTGGTGAAGGGGAGTCGCAAGAGGCATGCAGTCCACTGAAGTGCTGCCATGTGCTGACCAAGAAGCCGCCTCGAACACCATGCTTCCAGGCACGATGCTTCCGAGACCGCGGCGGGCCACAACAGCTTCGGCTTCGATAGAAACTTCAACACTCCCTTTACCCCTGGCCGTGCTCTCCGTGCTCATCCGTGTGTCCGTGTGTCGCAACACTGCGTCGCAGCACTCTGCAGCTTCACCTGCCTCCAACTGACCCCCGAGTCAAAACCGAAGGAAAGAACCACACCGATTGATTTCATGCAGCGCCCCTTGTCTTCAAGCAACTCTCTCTTTCGCCCTCCCCTCTCTCTCGATACGCTTTCTTTCTTTCTTTCTTTCTTTCTTTCTCTCTCTCTCTCTCTCTCTCTCTCTTTTTTTTCGTTATAATCTGCAGACTCCAACTTCCGCACATCAGGTTACATGGTTCCACCATGTTCCAGTGCGCTCCACTGAGGAGGCAGGGTGCCGGGAGGCTCCGAGCCCTTAAGAGTTCTCAAGAGTTCAACAACAGAAGTTGAAGCGTCAATCTCATGCAGTTTAACATTCTCCAGAAGGAGCGACCGAGGCCCGCAAAGCCGATGGCTTGCCTCTTTGCTGCACATCTCTACAAATCTCTGCAGATGTCCAGAATGAGCGAGGACAAGGCGCCCACTGAGGCAATCATCGTTCATTGGGCGTTCAATGGCGCCCAGCTTGCGCGAAGCAGTCGTGACAGGAGTCCATGGAGACATTGTGTTGGAGCAAGTCTTGTCTGAAGATCCTTAGGGCTTCCTGGTAAACGATGCGGTCGATTTCATCTTGGAAGCCCTCCAAGGGAGCAGTGTCGTAGAAGTCCTCCGCTTGTTTTCCGGGAAAGGAGCTCCGGGTGTTGCTGAAATCCAAAGCGTGGCAGGGGCCGCCAAAGATCTTGCGGAAGAGGCAGATGGACAAATCCCACTCCTCCGTGATCCCGACAAACGCGAAGCCTTGAAGCCTCCGCACAGCCTCCTCAGCCATCTCCACCGTTCGCTCCGGGATGTCCAATAGGCCGGGGAGCCAGTGATGGCCACCTCCATAGTTCAGGAGCCCCTCTCCCACCAGCTGGTACGCCACGGTCCCCGCGAAGTAGCGGGCAAAGATCGGCGCAGGCGGCTTCGTGCTGTTCTGGTGCGTGCAATCGGTGCCCAGAACCATCCATGTGCGTGCTTCGTCATGATACGCAGAGAGGATTCGCTGCTCGGGCTGGCGAAACAAGCCCACCATGTGACCTTCAAGCTCTGGGTACCTGCTGCCAATGCACTCATGTGGACTGGCCTGGCAGCGCACGCTTGCAGGGTCACAGAGGTCCGGGCAGGCGTTAAAGAAATTGGTGGCGAAACGGCAACCAAAACTGTCCTCGTCAATAGATACAGTAAGAGGAACTCCTGGGCAAAAGCCTGGTGTGTGGACCAAGACGTTGAGGAAGCTGCTCCCAGCCTTCGGAAAGTGGACCCATGTCCTTGAGAAAGACAGCGTGCTTGGGTCAGGCACGGTCAGCCTATCGTGATTCTCAACATACTTTCCAGTTATCACGAAGATGGCTACCAAACTGAAACAACAGCCACGGCTCAAGGGCAAGGCCTCCGGGTGCCGAGCGCCAGCGAGAAGTCTCAGCCTCGCCACAGGATGGCACTGAAGTCAAGCAACTATATTTTTGTGTTGTAGGCTATAAAGTATTATGGTGTGTGCTATCACGCCCTTCCTTTTGTGGCTTCTCCGCGTCTCTTCTCTGGAGCGATCCCCCCTTTTCGATCTCTCAAGCTAAAGCAAGGGGCTGTTACAGACAAGCCACTGTTGCTGGAGCAGTTCCAGATGTTGCAGACCAGGTTCACTAGTGTCACCAACGTCACACGCCCAGAGAGGCAGAACAGCCAAAAGGCCAGAGGCCAGGAGCCGAGGGGCCCCAGCCACGGCCATGACCCATAAACACTTCTCAAATCTTCCCGGTTCGGTTTGAGCCAGAGCTATGCCGTCTCTTCAGCCCACAGCGGGGAGAGCCCACGGGGCGATACCTTCTTGACTGGAATCATGTCCGCCCTTGTTTTCGCGCCCTCCCCCCACCTCCCCACCTTCCTCGCCGCCTCTTCCCCGCCCTGCCTTTGCCTTGTCAGACGCTACTTCCAACTTGGTTGGCCTGAGCCCAAGACCCGATAAGCGCTTAGGTGTTTATGCGCCGGTGCACCTTGAGATGCTCTGTTGAGATGCTCTGTTGAGATGCGCTCCGGTGCTCTTCAAATCTCTTAAGGCTGCCCTGCGGCTCCACGGAAACAAAGGCATGCGCCGCTCCAACAACAAGAACAAATGAATCAAGGCCTTCGCTGTTGGTTTTGAAACTGGGAAGCGCGAACGTGCTAGTAGTAGTAGTAGTAGTGGTAGTAGTAGTAGCAGTAGCACTAGCACTAGAACTCGTGCTAGCAGGCGCGCCTCATCATACACCTGTTGACCACGGTCCCAGAACAACATACAACGTTTTCGGAGTCCGAAACCAAAAATAAGTCTACTTGAGGCCAGAGACGGGTGGGCGAAAGCTAGGCTCCGCCCTTTTTCAACTCAATGCCGCAGTAACATCGATGTTGTCCCGTAGAGTGTGTCAGTGCGTGACGTCTCTTTGGAACAGCAAATCTGGCTTCTTTGGAACAGCAAATCTGGCTGAAAACAGCTCTGGCAAGCCGTGGCTAAACCGATGCCAGAGTGCCAGATAGAAGGAACTGCACATTTTGTAGAACTTTGGCAAGCCATAAGTGAGACGGATACCAGGGTGCATGTGGAACCCAGACAAACGCAGACATGTCTTGCTGGAACCGCAAGTATGCAGTTAACAAGTCGTGAGTAGGACAGATACCAAGGACGCCGAGCGAAAAGGGGCCGCAGAAACATCGACATGTTCTTTGTGTCTTTCTGAACATGCTTGTCGGGCAGAAAACTGTCGTAGATGCGACCAACACGAGTCGCGAAACGTAGACATTCCCACCTGGAACTGCAACGGTGTCCCCTCATTGTTATCCAACACCGTCCCGGACTCGATCAAGAAAACGAGCGCATCAAAAAAGAGGCTGCAGAAGCGTGGACGTTTCTACAGGGTCTGCTAGCAGCAAAAAACAGCACCGAATTTCTCCGGGAACATGTCTTTCACACAGAGCCTACAGCCG